AACAATGCAGGCTGGTGACCCCCAGGGGGAGGGCCTTCTCTGTGGGGGCACCTACCCTCTGGAATCAATTGCCTCCAGAGATAAGGAGAATCCAAGACCTCAGTGCCTTCCGCCGTGCCCTTAAAACCTTCCTTTTCCAGCAAGCCGGGCTGGCCTAATTTTTTAAGTGTTTTTAAGTGTTTTGTTTATTGTTTTTAATTAATGGGGCCAAATTTATATATATATATATTTTAACTGTATTTTAATATTTGTACTTGATGTTTTTACTTGGCTGTTCAACGCCCTGAGTCCTCAGGGAGAAGGGCGGTATACAAATTCAAAATAAAAAATAAAAAAAATAAAATCTACATGGAGGGAAGTAAGAAGTGGGTATCCCAAGGTTCTGTTTTAGACCCAATACACTTCAATATCTTCATAAATGACTTAGTTGAGGGAATAGCCGGGAAATTCATCAAATTTGGCAGGAATAACCAACACCCCAGAAGATAGACTCAAAATCCAGATGGATCTCAACAGAATACCGGGCCCTATCTAACAAAATGAAATTTAATTGAAAAAAAGTAACGTTTTATACTTGGGAAAGAAAAACCAAATGCACAGATACAGATTAGGTGAAACTTGGCTTAATAGCAGTAAGAGGGATCTTGGAGTCCTAGTGGATAGTCACTTAAATATGAGCCAGCAGTGTGTGGCAGCAGCCAAAAAAGCCGAGGCTGGCTCCAGAGGATTATAAATGCTTCTTTGAGTGAGGGGTTCTTGCCTCCCGCCTTGAAAGAGGTGGTGGTGAGGCCCCTCCTCAAGAAGCCCTCTCTGGACCCAGCTGTTTTAGCAAACTATCATCCAGTTTCCAACCTTCGCTTCTTGGCGAAGGTTGTTGAGAGTGTGGTTGCGCGACAGCTCCCGCAGTACCTGGATGAAACCATCTATCTAGATCCATTCCAGTCCGGCTTCAGGCCCAGGTACAGCACGGAAACGGCATTGGTCGCGTTGGTTGATGATCTCTGGAGGGCTCGGGACAGAGGTTGCTCCTCTGTTCTGGTCCTATTAGACCTCTCAGCGGCTTTTGATACCATCGACCATGGTATCATGCTGCGCCGGTTGGAGGGGTTGGGAGTGGGAGGCACTGTCTTACGGTGGTTCTCCTCCTATCTCTCCGACCGGTCGCAGTCTGTGTTGGCTGGAGGGCAGAGGTCGACCTCAAGGCACTTGGTTTGTGGGGTGCCACAAGGGTCGGTCCTCTCGCCTCTCCTGTTCAACATTTATGTGAAGCCGCTGGGCGAGATCATCCGTGGTTTTGGGGTGCAGTGCCATCTGTACGCTGATGACACCCAGCTGTACATCTCTACCCCAGACCACCCCAACGATGCCCTTGAAGTGATGTCCCGGTGCCTGGAGGCCGTGCGGGTCTGGATGGGGAGGAACAGGCTCCGACTCAATCCCTCCAAGACTGAGTGGCTGTGGCTGCCGGCGTCCCGATATAGTCAGCTGGTGCCATCGCTGACTATTGGGGGCGAGACATTGGCCCCCATGGAGAGGGCGCGTAACTTGGGTGTCCTCCTGGACGCACGGCTGTCTTTAGAAGAGCATATGACGGCCGTGGCCAGGGGGGCTTTCTATCAGGTTCGCCTGATACGCCAGTTGCGCCCCTTTCTGGATCGGGACTCCCTATGCACGGTCACTCATGCCCTCGTCACTTCCCGCCTCGACTACTGCAACGCTCTCTACATGGGGCTCCCCTTGAGGAGCACTCGGAGGCTCCAACTGGTGCAGAATGCAGCCGCGCGGGTACTTATGGGGGCGACATGGCGCTCCCACGTGACACCTCTCCTGTGCGAGCTGCATTGGCTTCCAGTGGTCTTCCGAGTGCGCTTCAAGGTGTTGGTTCTCATCTTCAAAGCGCTCCATGGCTTAGGACCCGGTTATTTACGAGACCACCTTCTGCCTCCGATAACCTCCCACCGGCCAACACGCTCCCACAGAGAGGGTCTCCTCGGGGTGCCGTCTGTCAGGCAATGTCGGCTGGCGACCCCCCAGGGAAGAGCCTTCTCTGTGGGGGCACCCGCCCTCTGGAATGAGCTACCCCCAGGGATACGACTAATCCCGGACCTCCGGACCTTCCGCCGGGCCCTGAAGACTTTTTTATTTCAGCAAGCCGGGCTGGGTTAAAATTTTTAATTGGGTGAATTTTATGGGTAAGGGGTTTTAAAATTGGAGAAGCCAAAGATAATTTAATTTTGTTTTAATGTATTTTAATATTTGTATTGTGTGTTATTAATTCTGGCTGTTCACCGCCCCGAGTCCTTCGGGAGAGGGGGCGGTATAAAAATTTAATAAATAAATAAATAAAATAAATAAATAATTCTAGTCCAACCCCCATCCAAGCAGGGGGCCCTACACCATTTCTGACAGATGGCAGTCCAGTCTCTTCTTGAAAGCTTCTGGTGATGAAGCTCCCACAACTTCCGAAGGCAACTTCTGTTCCATTGATTGATTGCTCTCATTGTCAGAAAATTTCTCCTTATTTCTAGGTTGAATCTCGGAGTAACAGTAACAGAGTTGGAAGGGACCTTGGAGGTCATCTAGTCCAACCCCTCTGCTCATGCCTTGATCAATTTCCATCCATTATTCCTTGTCTGGCCTTCAGGTACTTTGGAAAATAGCTTGACCCCTTCCTCTCTGTGGCAACCCTTCAAATATTGAAAGATTGCTGGTCCTTCTCTTCTCTAACTAGCCATGCCTAGTTCCTGTAACTGTTCATTGTATGTTTTAGTCTTCAGTCCCCTAATAATCTTTTTTGCTCTTCTCTGCACTCTTTCTTATAGTGTGGTGACCAAATCTGTATGCAGTATTCTAGGTGTGGTCTTAGTAAGGCTTTATAGAGTGGTATTAGTACCTCACTTGATCTTGATTGGATCCCTCTGTTAATGCAATTTAGGATTGCATTGGCTTTTTTGGCTGCTGCCACACACTATTTGCTTATATTTAACTGGTTGTCCACTAAGACTCCAAGATTCCTCTCACAGTTACTGCTATTAAGCCTGGTGTCAAGGTTCGAAGTCGTCTCAAAATAAATCGCATTTCAGCCAAGTTCTTTATGAAAACCCATTCATTTATTAGCACGACATTCTGTTCCAAAACTCATTGCTTTCTGCCATAACGTCAGGACTATTCCGCCACTCACTCCATACGTCTGGAAGGGAGCTGGAGATCTGGAAGTCAGCCAGTTTGGCTTGGAAAGGATTGCTGGCTATCTGTCAAGGTTCGAAGTCATCTCAAAATAAATCGCATTTCAGCCAAGTTCTTTATGAAAACCCATTCATTTATTAGCACAACATTCTGTTCCAAATATGGAACAGATATGGAACATAACGTCAGGACTATTCCGCCACTCACTCCATACGTCTGGAAGGGAGCTGGAGACCTGGTTTCACCCATCTGGGTGTGTACTTTTGTTTTTTCTTGCCTAAGTGAATTTCATTTTGTTAGATAGGGCCCAGTGTTCCAGGCTGTCAAGATCCATCTGGATTTTGAGCCTATCTTGATGTTAGCTATTCCTGCCAGTTTAGTATCATTCGCAAATTTGGTAAGTTCTCCTTCTATTCCCTCATCTAAATCATTTATGAAGATATTGAAGAGTACTGGGCCTAGGACAGAACCTTGTGGTACCCCACTGTTTACTTCCCTCCATGTAGATGTAGTACCATTAAGTTCTACTCATTGAGTACAGTTTGTCAGGCAGTTACAAATCCATCTGATGGTGATGTTATCTATCCCAGTTTTTTTAGTTTATCAAGAAGTAGGTTGTGGTCTACATTGTTGAATGCCTTGCTGAAGTCTAAGTACATTATGTACCCAGTATTTCGCTGGTATACTAATTTAGTCACTATGTTGAAGAATGAGATAAGATTGGTTCGGCATGATCTGTTTTTAACAAACCCGTGCTGACTGCTAGTTATTACTTCACTCATTTCTAGGTGTTGGCAGATCTGTTTTTTTTATTATCTTTTCCAGTATCTTCCGGGGTATTGATGTTAGGCTGATTGGTCTGTAGTTTCCTGGGTCTGTTTTTTACCCCCTCTTTTAAAGATGGGAACCTCATCAACTCTTCCAGTCCTCTGGTAGTTCCCTGGTGCTCCAGGATTTTTGGAAGATGTGGTATAGTGGTTCTGAGATTACATCTGCCAACTCTTTTAGAACTCTGGGATGGAATTTCAAGCACTGAACCTCCGCATGTACAATGAAAACCGACCTGACGATTAAAACACGACCGGATCCCAAGAGCTGCCTTACAAAGGGGTGGGGTGGGGTGGGGGGGAGCTCTGGGAGCCCCGGGGATCCCGGGGAATTTTCCTGGATCAAAAGCCTTGGTAGTACAGTGGTCTAAGGCACCCTGTTATTAAGCTGGTTATTAAGAGCAGCTGCCTGCAATTACTGCGAATTGCAGTAATCTCGATACTACGAATCTCGCCAAGGCTCAAGGTTGACTCAGCCTTCCATCCTTTCTCAGGTAGGTAAATTGAGGACCCAGTTTGTGGGGGCAATAAGCTGACTTTGTATAAATATACAAAAAGGATGAAGGCTATTGCTGAGCACATTGTAAGCCGCCCTGAGTGTCCGGAGAAGGGCGGCATATAAATCAAATTAAAAAAAAAAAAAGCGAGGAGCTCTGAAGCAGCGACGAGCTCCCCGGGCGCCTCTTGCCTGCTTGGGAGCGGAGCTTAGACGAGCCAGGGCAAACGGCCGGCCGGGCGGCAGATGGAGCAACCCGCCTCCTTCCCTGCTCGACTCTGGGCTCGCGAAGCGCTCGAGCAGCGCTGAAAAAAGCCCGTCGGTTTTCTCCCCCCCCCCCGTCCGCAGCAGCGCCGCCAGAGCAGCGCCCCCTTCGCGGCCGCGGGAAGCGGGCAGGGAGCGCCGCGGTTCATACCCCCTCCCCAGCCGCCTCGTTCGCGGTCCCTGACGGCGCGTCCAGCCCGCCCCTGTTTGGCTGCCTTCCCGCCTACCTGCCGACCTCCGAGCATCTGCGGGTGTCCGCGGCCACAGCCGCATGCCAATAGCGGGGAGGGTCGCAGCTGGGGCGGTCGCGGAAGAGCAGCAGCAGCCCCGCGGCCCCCGCCAAGACGGCCGCCACCAGCAGCCCCGCGCAGCAGCCCAGCCGCCTCGACTGCCGCATCCCGCCGCTCTGCTGCGTCCCCCGACCAGGCGCTCTTCGGAGCGGCTCCCGGACCGGGCTGCCCTTCGGGGGCTGGGCGGGGAGGTGGGACAGGCAGGCCTGCGCACCCGCTCCGCCCCCTCGAAGCGCGCCCCGGGCCCTCCCTGCCGGCGGCCGGCGGAACCCGCGCTGAGGTTGGGGCTGCAGCCCTCTAGGTTACTTCCAAGCCCGGACTTCGACGGCTCCGCGCACGCTTGGCGAACTGCCTCCCTTCCCGGGAACCAAAACCAAAAGATGTTGGAGTTTCTTGAAAGTAGGGAAAAAAATATGCCAGCAGCGAATTCCCTGCTTGGGAAGGAAAAACGGGCTCAGCCTAACCCTGACTCAGTCCTGGTCGGCGACCCTCTTCTCTGGAAGACCCCCAGGACCAAGTTGGGAACCGGACCTCTTGGAGAAAACCTCTCTTGGGTGTTGCTAAAAGTCAACGAAGACTTCAGGGGACACAATAAATTGTTAAAAGCCCCCAACTGAGGCAAGTAGGGTTGGGTCATTATCAGCTATTCAGCTGTGCTAGGGTGCAAGTGGGGGTCTCTTCCTGGCACCTCCATGGTACAAGTTTGGAGCTTGTGGTGCTTTGCTGCCTGGTAGCAGGTCAGCTCGGAGCGTCGGTGGGGTGGGGGAGGCCTGGGGGCTCTTGCAGTTTGGCTGGGCTGGTTGCTAACTCACCAAAAGTGTCCCGTGAGATACCAGACCTGCCTGCCCATCCACCCACCCCCCAAGTCCAGGGAAGCAAAGGGGAGGTGAATTTGCCATCGCTTTCCCCACAATGCCACCCTGGCTGCCTCCATTCTTCTCAAACGTGGCCTTGCCTCCTTGATCTCCTTGATCCCATCATGCCAGCTTTGCCACAAGCCTTAGGCTGCCACTTCTGCCCCCCTTTGCCTGCAGCCCCCCCATATCCACCAATTTAGGGGCCACACTGCCCCCAGCCACATCTATTATAGTCTCCTGCCCTCCACGGCAGCACTTCTTCTGAAGGGCCTGCTGAGGACAGCTGCAGACCCTCCTTCCCTCTCTCTGGGACTGTGAGGCACAGGCACATATTGGATGACCCCGTCTTTCCAGCTGAGTCAGCCTCGCTGGCCCCATTTTGGGGAGGTTGTGGTGAGGGGAGCCCAGAGTCGTTGCTTGCCTGTGAGGGGGTCCCATGGGAGGGAGGATCGATGGGCCCCACCTTGTCCACGTCCAGAAGCATCTGAAAATGGAGTTTTTCCAGAAGCTGTTTGGATGTCAATGCCAGTTTTTAAGTTGCATTGCACACAGTTTGTACAGTTGATAAACTTTCTACGGTTCATTCTGAGTGCTCACTATTGCCGTGCATTAGTTGCCCAGAATCCACTTGCAATTGTGGTGAGATACAGATTTGATGGATAAATAGATAGTAACCAGCATAGGCAGGAACAGGCCTTCCGAGAGGGTCTATGACAACTCACCACGGCCAACTCGCCTCAGAACAACTCATTGCGGGAAAAGAGTTACACTAATATCAAAGAAATAGTGGAATAGAATCATTACAGAAAGGATGCAAAAGGAGGGACAGAGAATGAAACATGTATGGCAAAAATTAAAATATTTTTTTATTAATTTTAAATAATTAAATAAAATAGTTCAATTGTCCCACCGTGAGTTGTCCCATGGCGAGTTGGCTGTGGCATATTGTCCCATTCCATTCCCGTATTCTGGCTGGCTGTCCCCAGAATAAAAGACTCTGAGGGCCAGGGGGCACCGTGGGAAGAGTCCTTCCAGCAGCAGGACTCTTGTGGGGAGAGGGACACCAGTCGTACCCTTGACCGAAAGCAGGAGCTGCCTCAAAAGCAGGAGTTCCAGGGCAGAGACCGCCTTTCCCTCCCAATCATACAGAAGAGAGAACAGAGAGGAAGGACAGAGAGTGTGACAGGACTTGCTAGGGGCTAAACAATAACATTTTAAGCAGGGGATGAGATTGGTCTGAACTGTCTGGAAGAACGATGCAGCTGGTCAGCTGGAGATAGAAGGGAAGTATGGCCGGAACTGACTGGTGCCAATCAGACCTCTGAGGGGAGAATTCACTGGGGACCATTTCAGGGGGAGCACAGACTGAGAAGAGGAGAGTTTTCATCTTGGACTGATCCTTTGGACGGGCAAATCTCCTACGTGGGAAAGAGAGGGAATCTACACAAGGATGCCCAAGAGTGCCAGTTCTAAAAATTAGACAGGAAGGACTCTCCATTCAGCACAATCTTCCTTTGCAAAAAGAAAGAACAGATGAAGTGCCAAAAGAAGGCAAAGATTTATGTCTTTATTAGCTTCCTATTCTGCATGTCCTTTAATGGCACAAGGCAAAGAATGGCTCCCCATCTGCATCTCCCCCCCCCTGCCCCCCAACAACAGTCCTGCAGAATAGATTGGTCTGAAATCAGACAGTGAGCTTCCATAGTGGAAGCTCAATTCAAAAGTGTATTTTCCTGCCCCTGCGCCAACACCACATTACCTTAAGACATCCAGCATATGACAGGCTGCTCAATTTGAATGCAACACCTGGAAAGTTTCCAGGGCTGATCATTAACCTCCCCTCACAAGCTTATAAGGACATGGGTGAAATTGTAATTACTAGAAGTCAGTGTTCCATCAGTCAAGATGGAAAAACCTATTTTGTGGTCTTCTGCATCAGCCTGGAGATCAGGCCAGGGAATGGGGGGTGGGGTCAGGGTCTCTGTCTCTGAAGTGGCAGCTGTGATTGCTTCTCTTCCATTGGATCACAGGACAAGTTAGAGATCTGGTTGCCCATCGTCTTCCTATCTGGAGGCTTTCTCTGGTGAAGCCCCCTTGCCAACTGAATGGAGGGATTTCAGTGCCCTGAGGGGTTCCTTGGTCTACAGAGAGTTTCTGGGAGGGGAAGCAGCAGGAGGAATGGCACAGCCAACTCCCCATGGCCAACTCGCTGCAGGTTGGCCATGGCCAACAATTCTATTCCATTATTTAAAATAAATAAAAATTATTTCAATTTTTGTCATTCACATTTCATTCTATCCCTCTTTTTGCATTCTTTCTTTAATGATTCCCTTCCACCATTTTTTTAAAAATTTGATTTATATGCCGCCCGTCTCCGGAGACTCAGGGCAGCTTACGATGCGTTAAGCAATAGCCTTCATCCTTTTGTATATTTTATACAAAGTCAGCTTATTGCCCCCACAAACTGGGTCCTCAATTTACCTACCTTAGAAAGGATGGAAGGCTGAGTCAACTTTGAGCCTGGTGAGATTCATTTCTTTGATATTAGGTGTAACTCTTGTCCCACAGCGAGTTGGCCTTGGCAAGTTGGGGGGGGAGCAAAAAAGGTAAATCTGAACAAGCTATGTGCTCTCTCCCTCTTCATCCTGCTTAGTTTTATTTTAATAGATTTTTAAACTTATTATCCTTATTTATTGTTTTAATATTTTATGGTGCACTTTAACTGAATGTCAGTAAACCACCTGGAGTTGCCTCTGGCAAGATGGGCAGCACATAAGTTGCATCAATAAACAAACGAGATTCCCACAGTTGTAAAGGAGAAAGACGGCAGAGAGCAAACTCTCCTCCACTGGGCTGGGCCTTGATTCCTGATTTCGTGGAACTTTAATATGAGGAAGAAGCAAAAGAGAGGAAGAAGCATCCAGGTGAGAAGGGGCACAAAAACCCTCAAGGCAACCAAAGGCTGACCATCCTCTTCACCCCTTCCCAGGGCCGGATTTTCCTATAGGCTAACTAGGCTTCAGCCTAGGGCCTCAAGATCAAGAGGGGCCTACACAGTGGTGGGATTCTGGGGGTTCTAGGGGGTTCGGCAGAGCCCTTTGTTAAATTGCTGGCTCGCCCGCCCCTCGCCTCCCACCCGCGAGGCGCCAGCCTACCGTAGCAGGGGTGGGCAATTGTGGCTCTTTTACAACCTGTGGACTTCAACTTCCAGAATTCCTGAGACAGCTTGGCTGTCTGAGGAATTCTGGGAGTTGAAGGCCATAGGTTGTAAAAGAGCCACAATTGCCCACCCCTTCCCTAGCCTGAGTTCCGCTGCCTGGGATCCACGTGGGCTGCCACGTGATTCCCCACCGGCTCCAGACGCAGGAGAGCAGCTTCCAGCCTTCACTCACCCTCACTCTCTGCTCTGTTGGATCTACCCCGCCCACTCCCCATCTATTGCTGCCTCCGATGGCTAGAGGAAAAAAAAACGGTTTAAATTCTTGCCGCGGGGCTTCAAAGGGCCGCCCTAGAGCCAGTGGTGCAGCCGAACCCTTTGCTAAATTGCTGGCTTGCCCCGCCCCTCCGCACCACTATTTATTGCCAATCAATAGTGGTGGGCGAGGGGTGGGGGAGCCAGCAATTTAACAAAGGGTTCGGTGTTTTTTTTTTGTAATTTTATTGGCCCGCGGAGCTTCAGCAGAGGCTAATTGGCCTCCCGGCTTTCAGCTGATTTGCTCAGGGCTCTTCTGCTTCCTTGCAAAGAAACGAAAGTGAAACTGCTTTGCTGTTGCTGCAAGGTTGGAAAATTAGGCAGGCAGATTTCTTTTCTTTTTCCTCACCAAAAAAGGTAGGTGCCAACAATGGGAAATTTAGGGAAAAAGGAGATTTTAAAACACAAAAGAAAAAAAGCTCTATTTAACTAGGGAATTGTAATAATTGAGATACTATTAATTGTATATTGTGTTGAAAGCAGAAATGGTTAAGTTGTGGTTTGGAGGAATATATGGGGGAAATTATTTGGTTTATTATTATTGGTAAATATAATTAATTGATTTGTAAGAAATTGGATTGCATGGAAATAATTGGAATATTCATGTTCATATTGATTAATATACAAAAAAGGTAGTTATATAACTGATTTATATTAAAATGTTGAATTCATATTAAACAACTGTAATATTACATAATTAACCAATGTGAGGATGGATATAAAAATAGATGACAATGGGAAGGGGTATAATATAGAATAGAAGGGAAAAATTGAATTTGATTAAGATTAGAGATGAGGATGAAGGGTAATATTGGTTTTTTACAAAAATAGATGATGAATAAATATGGCAAAAAGGAAATATAGAAATTGTAAATTTAATTGAAATGACTAAACACTGTTTAAATTT